AAGTTTTGGAAGAGCAGTAAAAGTGAAAAGACAAGATGAGCAACTACAGAAAAATTTTCATTCAGAAAGGAAAATAGAAATCGCTACTAAACAAATTAAGAAAGTAATCACTGAGGTTAATAAAACAGTGTGGACATACACAAACCTAATTAGACTGTTTGGGCTAGAGCTTACTAAGGCACGTGACAAGTCACCCCAGAAAATAAGACGCAAGCCCAAGAGTTGGTGGGACGAGGAAGTTAAGAGAGCCATAGCAAAATGTCAGGAAGCCTCTAGGAAACACAGACATGCTAAGCAGCAGAGTGAACCGACAGATGATGTTGAAATAAAATGGGATTTCTTTCCAAGTTCCAGAAGGGAAGCATCCCAACTGATCAATGAAAAGATTAGAAAAAAGAGTGCTCAGTGGCTGGCAGAAGTACATAAAAAGGACAGAAAGGCAGCAGCAAAATTTTGGAACCATCTAAACTCCATAACAAATGAGACAAGCCTGGAGCAGAGGTTTATAACTACAGCTCAAGGTGCTAGGCTAGAAGGGGACGAAGCTATTGAATATATAAGAACAAGGTGACAGAAAAATTTCAACAAAGAAGTGCCTTATGCACCACAATAGACAAGGATGGATCAAGTGGTGCAATGGCTCCATTTTCACGAGAGTGGGAAAGGGTTGAAAAGAGGGTTCCAAGTAGTACATCAACAGGCCCAGATGGCATTCCAATTATGCTGATAAAGACATTTGGTCCGAAGTCTAAACAGACTGAGAGAGACAGCGAGCAAAGCAATAGATGGTGAAGCTCCCAATGGGTGGAAACTAAGCAGGATGAGCATGATCTATAAAGGAAAGGGGGATGTAAATAACTACCATCCTATAAGAGTGACATCAGTTGTTTACATGCTGGTGATCCAGATAGTAAAGGAAGGACTACAGACATGGGTGGAGAATGATAGGGTGCTGGGAGAACTACAAAATAGGTTCCGTAAACGAAGGAGGTTGAAAGACAATCTGTTTTCATTGATGCACTGTATTGAAATAGCGGAAAAAGAACACAGGCCTCTGTGGCTGGCATTTCTAGATATCAAGGGAGCTTACGATAGTGTGATTCAAAAAGACTTGTGGGGAATACTGGACACATTAGATGTGGAAGATGGAATAACTAGTCTTCTAAAGGATATCTATAAAAGTAACAATGTAGTTATCAAATGGGAAGAACAGGTATCTGAACCTATAGAGATACAACGCAGGCTTCCACAGGGATGTCCCTTGTCACCTTTGTTAATTATGCTGTATCTCCCGGGACTAGTAGCCAAATTAGAGGGGAGTCGACTCGGATTCAGCCTATCTTTTGCCGAGCAAGGAAAATACATTAAACAGTCGTTACCAGCATTGATGCATGCAGATGATATAGTATTAATAGCCGACAACAAGGAAAATCTGCAGAGATTGATATACATCTGTGGTAATGAGAGAGATAGGTTAGATTTCAGATTCAGTGAGGAAAAATCAGGAGTCATGATTTTTAATGATAATGAAGGTTTGAGCTTAGGATACAGAAAGTCACAATAGAGATAACAGATAAATATAAATATCTGGGCGTATGGATAAGCAATGGGACAGAGCACCTAAGGGAACACGAAATATACGTGACGACTAAAGGTAACAGGAATGCAGCAGTGATGAAAAATAGGGCATTGTGGAATTACAATAGGTATGATGTTGTGAGAGGAATATGGAAAGGGGTCATGGTTCCAGGGCTGATGTTCGCAATGCGGTCTTGTGCATGAGATCAGAAAATTAAGCAACGTGGAATAGGTAGGCTTGCTTTAGGAGCTCACGGGAATACACCAAATCAGGGAGTACATGGTGATATGGGATGGACAACATTTGAGGGTAGGGAAGCTAGCAGCAAGATAAAATATGAGAAGCGATTGAGAGAAATGGGGGAGGAGCATTGGGCTAGGAAGGTTTTCAGCAATTTGTACATGTAGAATGTCGATACGAAATGGAAGAAGTGAACCAGGAAATTGACTGGTAAATACTTAAAAAACAGCAGGTGGCCAAACCAAAAAGAACTATGGTTTAAGAAGAAAGTGAAGGAAACGGAGACTAACATATGGAGAGTTGGCATGATTAAGAAGTCCGCACTAGAGATCTATTGAACTTTTAAGCAGGAAATTGCCAAGGAAAGGATCTATGATAATACCCGGGGCAGTTCTCTACTTTTTGAGGCCAGGACGGGAGTATTGCGAACCGACATATTGGGACGAAGGGGTATACGCCCCGCCACGGTGGTCTAGTGGCTAAGGTACTCGGCTGCTGACCCACAGGTCGCGGGATCAAATCCCGGCTGTGGCGGCTGCATTTCCGATGGAGGCGGAAATGTTGTAGGCCCGTGTACTCAGATTTGGGTGCACGTTAAAGAACCCCAGGTGGTCAAAATTTCCGGAGCCCTCCACTACGGCGTCTCTCATAATCATATGGTGGTTTTGGGACGTTAAACCCCACAAATCAATCAATCAATCAACGAGGGGTAGACACGGTATGCAGTGCATGTGGAGAGGAGGAAACTGCCGAACACTTGATAATGGTCTGTAAAGGGCTTCACCCTATAGTTCAGGATGATGGCGCAGAGCTTTTCAGAGCAGTGGGGTTTAGGGACAGGGAGGGCAAAATAGACTTTAAGCGGGTAGAAGTAACTAGAAGAAGGTGATCTGATTGGTGGCTAAAGTCAAGGCACGGGTGAAAATTAAACCCTTCACTGCAAATACCAGTCCTCAACTTCACTATTTAAAGGAAAAAAAAGATAAATCTAGTGGTTAGTTCACTAAGTATTACGGCTAGGTGGCGTTAGCCACCGCCCGATCTAAAGGGTACAGCCACATTCATCCATCCATCCTGTCACCTCACGCATTGCCCCTTATGCACTTCTGTGCTTCGATATTAGTAATAGCAGGGATTTAACGTCCCAAAACCACCATATGATTATGAGAGACGCCATAGAGGAGTGCTCTGCAAATTCAACCACCTGGCGTGCTTTAACGTGCACCTAAATCTAGGTACATGCACCACAAATCTAGGTACATGTACCACCAAGACTTGGGAATAATTTCGGCAATCTTGGGTCCTTAACCCTTTCGGCCCTGGAATTTTTTCATAACACCTACAATTTTTTCAACGTAATATTCCGCTTCTTCACACGATAAGCAAGTGTTATTCATTGAAAAAATATGCGTGGTACGCGCCCGCCGAAATACTGCTGCTGTGGCCAAAGAAAAATTGGCAATCATGATTTTTAATGATATCAAAGGCAGTGAACATAAGATACAGGAAGTCACGCTAAGTAGTGAATAAATACAAGTACTTGGGCGTATGGATAAATAACGGGGCTGAGTATCTATGGGAGCACGAAAGGTACGTAATGACTAAGGGCACCAGGAATGCAGCTGTAATGAAAAATAAGGCACTGAGGAACTACAATGGGTATGACGTTGAGAGGGATTTGGAAAGGTGGCGTGGTCCCGGGTTTGACGTTCGACAAAGCGGTCTTGTGCATGAAAGCAAGATTGGAAATTAAACAACGCGGCATAGGTAGACTTGCTTTGGGAGCACACGGGAATACCCCAAATCAGGGGGTACAGGGAGACATGGAATGGACATCGTTTGACTGCAAGGAAGCTAGCAGCAAGATAGAATTTGAGGACCGATTGAGAAAAATGGGAGAGGAGTACAGCTAGAAAAGTTTTCAGTGACTTGTACATGAAGAATGTAGATACTAAATGAAGGAAACAAACTCGAAAATTGTCAAGCAAGTATTTAGACAACAGCAGAATATCAAGTCAAAAGGAAACATCGGTTAAGAAGAAGGGGAAGGAAACAGAGAGGGACATGTGGAAGATGGAAATGCTTACGAAATCGTCACTGGAAACCTACAGAACTTTTCCTCGGGCACCATAACCACTATGCCACTGTGGCGGGGTCATAAACAGAATGCCCAATAATTTGCCGATACAATTATTTTGGCGCCGTGCACTAAAAGCGAGTGCAGATGCAAAAATTAGGGGTGTGCGAATATTTGAATGTTTTTCTCGTGGTGTTTGGCATAATTGGAGTCACACTAGAATTTTTACTTTTCAAATTTCCCAAAGACAAATGCAGTCAACGTTCGACCGAAAGCAACACCTTTCAATCTTTATATGCTTCCCCTAATTACATTCTCGTATGACGGCAAAGCTGCCTTTGAGGCTCCGTTGCCGTTGAATTTTTTAGACGTCCACCTAAAAATGACCCCCTTCAGATTTTTAGGATGCATCACCTCATTACAGTATATTGCGGCAAAGCTGCCTTTCAGGCTCCGTTACGATAAACTTGTAAAAAACAAATACAGGCAACGTCAGACTGAAAGTGGCCCCTTCTAAGTTTCAAATTCTTCTCCTCATCACATTCCCGTATTGCGGCAAAGCTGTTTTTGGAACTCTGCTGCGATCGCAAATGTACCAAAGAAAATGCTGGTTCCAACAAGTGATAGATGTGGCAGAGGTGGGGGATCAATGAGTGCTGTTTCCGACCTGAAATACGGACAGGAAGTCCAAAATTCCAAGTGTTCTGGAGGCAGATGTGGAACTTCTCCAACTCCAAGAGAGCACAACATAGTCTGCCACATCAATTGGGCTTCCAAAGAAGTTGAGAGGAGAGGCTGAGGAAATAGTATATTCGCCTTTCACGTATAAAGTGTTGTTGGCAACACTTTGGTTGCACCAAATCATGTACTAATACAATTTCGACTCTGCGTTGCCTCACTCTTGATGAAACAGCAATGAAATACCACCCTGCCAGTGCTTCATAAATCTAGTGAAAAGAAACACTTTCATGTTACTATTTTATAAGAATATGAGTCAGAGTAAGAATCCTCCAACTTTATTTTCTGCTATTTCACTTTCAAAAATTTGAAAATATTCTAAAAATGTTCAATTTGATTTGTACTCACACCTCATAATTCAAATTCAATTTGCACCCAGGATTTTGCTATTTGCCCAGCTCTAGCAAAAATGCAACATAAAACGTCAAGGTTTCTCCAAATATGTAAGGCAACTTTGTGTACTTTAATACCCTTAATATACCTCGCAGTGAAGAAAGACACCCTAGCAAGACCAGGCTGTTTGCAGGAGTGTTGGACGAGCACAAACAGGTTTGATCATAAAGAATAAGAAGGAAGATCAACATAAATGGAAATAACGAGCAAAAAACAACAACAAAACACTGGAAAGACATAAAAAAAAAGAGGATGAAAAGAAGACTGAAGAGAAACAAAGAAGGCTACCCAGCTCTGACCCTCTGACTGTGGTTTATAGAGGCCCTGCCGTAAAAAGGCTTATTGTCTCACGAACTGACCGTTGCAACACTTTTTAGAACCCATCCAGTACGAGCGGAGGTTAGTTGCACACTGCAGTTGCTTTCCCTTGTTTTTCCGAACAAAAGTGGTGGGATTTAAACTAAGCAGGGAGAGGTGGCACTGGGTAAAAATTTATGTCACTCGCCTCTCTTGACCTTGGGCACTTTTACCCTTTTTTTTTCTTTGACTGCACGGTTTTAACATGTGATCGCCAGCGGTTCCATACTGTGGCGATCCCAGTAACTCCCGAGCACACCATACTACAATCAGCCAATGGAATGATACTTGGGTCTGTGGCACAAATTCTTTAGTATACAGCATCATATGTCAAGAGAGAAAAAAAAGCAATTTATAGCTGACAGAGAATTTATTGTATATACTAGCCCACATGCTACACTTTAATATTTGGCTTGTGTGTTCTCGGAAGCCTGGACTGCCGATAGGCATTTTCTGACAATGCTAAAAAAGGGTTCCAGGGCCCTTTTTCGGGTTTTGAAGCAGGTCGTGAAACGGGGTCATGACACATTTACAGAAAAATTTCAACTACATGTGTTCTGAATCTTGGCCGCCCATTCAATACTGCACCTTGACTCATTTCATCTCGCAGGTTCATTTAATAACTATAAAAGCACAATCTAGATTCCCCAGTTCGCATTCCCCTTAACTGTACAGCTGTCGTCACCAAGTCAGCCAATCGAAAATCTGTCACCAACAATACATAGCGACATAATGTTTGCTGTGCCATAGTTGACAGAGGTTTGTAGCATCATATTGCTTCGATTGCAGTACCTTAACCATGTCACAAACATTGTTTCTACTTTGGTAAGTCGCGTGGCACTGTCTAACGACGCACACGGTATAGGCATAGTGAGGACTAAGCCATTGAGACACCCTGTGAAACAACGTATAGCAGCCATTAAGAAAAAAAAACTGGAACACTGCACCAACTGAAAAAGGCAACACGTGTTGGAGCCTCGACGTACTTGAAAGCAGAACCAAAGCAGATCATTTGCTGTACTTGCACAGTATACAATGCAGAGCACCAAAATTGCAGTGTTATTTTTACTTTACTAGATTTTTATAATTTATTATTGAAGAGCAAAACAAAACTCACACTGTGTTTATAACATCTCTTAGCATGACGTCACACCGATGTCACACGTTAGTGCTTATGGCGACCGGTGGTGCTGCATGGTTGTTTAGGAGCTCAAGGAAACTGCGATTTCAAAGGAGTGTCATTGATTACAGACCAGATAGTGCACCGAAATAGTTCAGAATCGGCATGTCTAATCCTTATTGAAGCAGGAAAAATTACAACCGGGGAGCTTCGTTTACTTTTCACAAACCTTTAAAGCTTAAGAAATATGGTTATTTCTGCAACTCATAGGGGCACGGTGCAGTGGCATGGGGAGTGATAGGAGCAGAAAGGGGAGGCCACCTTCGCAAGACAAGTACATGGCACTGAGCACGTGGCTCTGCCGGGGGGTTGCTTAAGATAGCGCCCTTCTTTCATCATCTAGAACTACATGAGCTTAGAATAACAGAAGGCTGAGCTAGTTGGTACATACTCATTATAAAAAGACGCATGCAAACAAGAAGGAAGTTAGGACTTCCGTCTTAAGTCTGTGTTTGCATGCCCCGTCTTTTTATAATTAACACTACACAAGTATTTGCACCAAACACCATTTAAGGGTAGGTCCGCTTAACTCTCTGCTATCTCACAATTGGTAAAAAATGGTAGGTGCCCAGTAACACTGCAAGTCATTTCCAGTATCTCCCGGATTCAAGGCGGACTTGACCAATGCCGCAGTTTGCCCTTGCCTGGTGATCAACAATATATGCACATATGCATACTCTACTCTCACAAGGGCATATGCACAAACATATGGACACAAAAGGAGCTATTACAGACTCTCCTCCTCCCGCCCTCGAGCAAACTTGACCCCTACCTGAATGAAGGGAGACCTTCAGGACTGTTGAACACTTACAAAGCCTCTGACAGTGCTATTATCAGCCTTTTCCCGTTCCTGTTAATTTATTATTTATAAAACAACCAATTAGTTCCGTAAAATCTCGAGCAGGTGGACCCCTCCGTTCTTCAAATATGTGACCACTTCTTCCCTCCCACCATTTTCACTGTTACTATGCTCCTGACAAGGATGAAGAAAAACGGTGAGTGAATACATATTTAATAGGCATTGCATTAGAAGCATGGTTGGGCGTTATTTTTTGCAGCTCTTCTGCCACCATCTTGAATTTAGATCCATAACCGAACAAGGGCTACCTCTCCAAATCTTGACGCATTACTGTTCGCCATGGAAGGGGGGGGGGGGGGGGTGCTTGGGATTTTACAGGATATAGTAATTGACATTGTATGCATTATTTGGCTTTGTACAATGAAGGTGAATATAAGGGCTGCAGAGCTTCCTTGAAGAGCTCTGAATTTTTCAGCATCAGTCAATAACCTCTATTATGTTGATAAACTAAGTCAGCCCTCGAGAACATTTGACACTTGCTGGTTACCTTTGTATGGCCTAATAATTGACACCAAAAGTACTTGTGAAGTAAAGCCAAAACAACAATTATTATTTTCCTTTGATCATCAAACATTTATGGCAGATAGCAACAATCAAGGCCATATGCCATGTAAATTGGTATTCATTCATTCTATAGCCACAAAAGCTAGTGCAAATAACTGAAACAACCGTGTACAGTAGAATCTAAAGTTCACTTAGGGACTCTTTCATCCTTCGATGCATCTGTGGCACAAGAGCAATATGTTTGTCTGCACACTTCACAACACACGAGCTATACTGGTCTTTCAGCTTGAATGCTTCTGCTTCTGTTGTCTTTGGGCTCATCTGGTCCCGTACATCATTCTCGCACTGCTTTACACAAATTCGTATGCGTTCCTGGAATACAAATAAAATAATGCAAAAAAAAGCTCAGGTCAGACGGTAGCAGTCTTAAAAAAAGGCACAATAAAAAATAGCCTGATAATATGAGAAGTATTTTATGTGGGCGCTAATGCTTCTGTAGTTACCATTTAATGTATTGCACACTGAATTTTGTCATTAAGTGCATATTTCTAAACAAAAATAAGAAAAAAAAGCAACACTACCACACACCTGAAAATTTCCTAGTTCACCTTCAACTTTGTCTTGGGCTTTGTTTAGAGGTTCAGAGCACTTCCCTATGCATGAGCGAGCACCATCCATAGACAAGCTGGAGTCATCACAACACTTAACTGCACACCTGTGCATATTGCCCTGAAAGAAAGTGTGTAGCACAAAGTTCGTGCAATGCTCATATAAACTCTCAAAGCGTAGTGGGAGTGAGCTCTAGCCGATATGCAACAGTTTTATTGTGGTTATTAATTAGTGCTGTTGGACAAACAAATGTCAACCATTGATACAAGCTACTATTCACGGTCTGTTTTACTTCCACTACAATGGCAATTAATAGGACAGTCACCATGTTTATGCTACTACTACCATGGCAGACCACGTATTACACCATGCGAGCACTCAGCAAGTGTTTACAACGGCTCTACCCGGCCTGACAATCACGATAGCAAAAACGTCCACCACTAGTAGACGAAGAAGTGCGAGCTTGAGAATAAAAAAAACAATTACCAATATTTTGCGGAGATAAGTGTTGTCGAGATCCTTGACCATGTTGCCCACGGCAGTTTGAACACGCTGAGCGGCATCTTCAGCCATTCTATCGATTAGTTCGGCACAGTAATCTTCCTTGGAGAATACCCTGCTTGAGGCGGCGTTCCTCGCACTTGAGCACTTACGGGCTTATGCTACCGGCATTAGAGAGCCTCCGCCAGCGTCGCTCAAGCAAGCAGACATAACCACGTGCGCTAACCTTGGTGGGCGTTTGCGAATGGCCTTGTACGGCCAAACCTGGCTAAATAATATTCCCGTGTTTAAGCAATTACAACCTATAAAATTAATTTTTAAATACTATATTATACAATATTTATTAATTTTTTAAAATGTTTTATTGCGCAATTTTAGCAAAAATGGTTCTGTTTTTTTTTTTTAGTATTAAATCTCTAAGGCTTCACGTTCGCCGCGCTTCAGGCAGTCCAGGTCACGGAGTCATATTTTAACACAACAATCCACAAAGACTAACTAAGCCAAAACAAGACAATCGTAAAGCGTATGATTGATGTTGCTTTTGCTTCTGATCGTACGTTCGGACAGTAGGTCGGGGTTTCGGAGATCACCGGTTTCACTTTGTCATTTGCGTGCACCGACTTCATTTTCCATGTAGCTTTGACTTATGGCGCGGTTTAGAAAAAATTCAGAGCAGTCGCCGGAATCTAGAACAGTATCTCCTTGCGGCAGGAGAGCTGTTCCAAAAAATGCACGAGATCCAGATATCGGTGAACGGTGTGATGAGGGCCCAAAGAAGTCCTCTCCGCTTGTCCCCGACAATGTAAACATGCATTCCCTGCAGAAGAACCAGTACTGGCTGATAAGGATTGTATTTTTACGTTCTCTTGGGTTTGTTTATGGTAAGCGTATAGTTTTGTTTACATTATAGGCTCTTATTTGTTTAATCGACGCGAATATTTTGAACCGCGTACGTCGTCCAGTTCAAGGAAAGAAGCTCTGCAGCTGTATTTGCTGTGCGTGCACTTCAGACCAGCTGATAAGTGTACTGAGAAACGCGTGTCCTTTCGTCGACGCCCCCCCGCCCCCCCTCACAGTCGATCAACAAATCCATGGGAGTATCTGTACAACCGTGCACATGTGCATGAAGCTACACATTCATATTTTTACTATGTTTCACTCTATGTCACTCTCTTCTCAAACACTGAATGACTTTGATATTACGTTGTGATGGGCAATCGTACTCCAGGTTAGAAGACTTCTCAGGGCTGTAGCGGCAGAGAGAGTGCTTTCAGTTTTTTTTTTTTTCTGAAATAGTTTATACAGCGAAGTACCGTGAACACTCATAGTTAATGAGATCACTGTCCAGCTTGGAATATGTGTTTGTCGCATTCCAAGCTGTACTTCCTTAGAAAGTGAGCGCTAAGCATGAGTTTAGGCAAGTGTTGTTCCATTGTTAAGCTTCTGTGCATACACCTGTTATGGGTAAGAAACATTGAACTTACTTATGCTTTGCTTTTAAGAGTGGAACGAGGTATTATCAGGCCCTGCCTGCACCACTTCATTATTCGCTTGCCATACTTAGCTTCTTAGTGGGCACCTTACATGTGTCCACCTCAGTGAAGCAGTAGTTACGGAACTCAGCTGCTGACATGTAGGTCCCAGTTGGGATCCTGGCCGCGACGGTCGCAATTAATGTAGCTGAAATGCTGGAGTTCAGTTTATTGTGCCATTTCAGGGCATGTTAAAGAACACCAGAAAGTAAAGATTTCCAGAGCCCTCCACTGCGGCGTTTCTCATAATCATATCGTAGTTTTGGGACACCTCACCCGTGTCGTGAAGCATATGCACATGGTGTTGGTGATTATAAACTGTCCTAGGGCATTTACTGCTTGTGAAATTGCAAAGCACCCGCTGTGCCATAATTCAACATTTTGCATAGTATCGAAATACCCATGATGCATATATAAGGCAATACATATGTCTATGTAGAGGCACACTTTTTTGATGTGATGGCTTCTGATGATACATAATTGAGAGATGTAATGTCTGGTTTTATTTAATGCTACTGCCACACAATATTAAATTGGTTAATGCAACTCCTCACCCGACGTGGCACCTGTATGGGCCTGAAGGAAACAGCACGAAAGACCAGGACAGTAAAGGCATTCATACAATGACATGTAGCATTTATTTATGCTCTTTGCCTCAATGAACTTCAGTTGCCACAGCATTACGTGTTGTGTGCATGTCTTTACTGTCCTGGTATTTCGTGCTGTTTCCCTTTGTTATGTTCAACCAGCCAGCCGACAAGTTGACCCTTTAAGACCTGTATGGGCTCTCTTTACAGAGTGTTTTCAAGCACCGGTGTGTCTGTGGGGTGGGATAGTTGACTTCCATGCAGAATGCCGGTTTTAATACTGGCTCAAACCTTTATTTTATTTCTCACATTTATCGCAATTTGTTACTCAAGGACAACGCCGATGCCACATTTTCTTTAACTAAGGCTGTTTAACGCTATCATGTTAATCTGAGGTGCAAGCTGGTTAATGATGCCTATTGTTCTTTTGAAAATTAAGTTAATGGCACATGCTTCATAAGGATGGGCTAGCAGCTTGTGAGAAATTTGTAGGTGTGAGAGAATTAAGCATCATTGTTTCAAAGGTTTATGTGGAGTTTTTGATGTGCATCATTTATTGTGCCCACTTCCTTTTCTTTCTAACCGCCTCTTGTCTAGTGGGAGATACAGTTTACTGCAGGCACCAATCATTATAATTAGCAGAAGGTAGTCTACAAGCTATCAAGTGAGCTCACCAACTGAGAAGGGGCCACATTTTCTTCAACACTGCACAAGACTGAATGCTGTTGATGGCCTTAGAAATTCACTGGGGAAGTGATAAAGAGTATGGAATATGATCTAAAATCTGCTCACCCTTACGTTTTCTCTTCATGTATTTCATGAATATGAATATGGATGCATTCATTTTATTTTGAACTTACACAGTTTTCACTGGTTTTTTGCAATCTGAAGTCATTGAGCAGTGACCATTGGTCATTTATGCTGTGGTTTTTGTCTTCTATAAGATGAGTGCTGTTTTTATTTATATTTTTCCATCTTCGTTTGCCACTTCCTAGCTGAGTAGTAGCCACTGTAAGTTACTTTTATTGACTTTGCATTACAGCACGAAAGGGCAGTGCATAGTAACTCGTTTCTCCTCACAATTAGCCCACTCTTATGTTAATGCTTTTCATTTCACCATGTGAAATTCTTAATATTTCTGGGGAGAATAACGAAAATGTGTTAATATTCTGCAACTGACTATGTTGTCTTTTTTACAGCTGTCGCATTTCTTGTTGCCCTGAATCAAAACAAATATTTAGTTGGCAAACATGGACTTCTTCCAGCTTACCAATACATGGAAAGGGTAACTCTTTTTCTTCCCTATTGGTTGTGAAAAATGTTCTGGGAGTTATGAATAATGTTGGCCACTCGTGCCCTTTGTGGTAAAATCTTTCCCTTAAAGCCCCCTTTGATTTCATAAATGATGCTGATGACGATAAATGGTAGTTTGCTTAGTGAGAGATTGCATGTTGAAAGGGGCAGTTGTATGCGCTCATTACATCACGGATATGAATGAAGCTGAACTCCATTTCTTGCTCGTAATGCAGAGAGCCCCGCTGCGGTGGTCTAGTGGCTAAGGTACTCAGCTGCTGACCCGCAGGTCGCGGGTTCAAATCCCGGCTGTGGCGGCTGCATTTCCTATGAAAGCAGAAATGTTGCAGGCCGGTGTGCTCAGATTTGGGTGCACGTTAAAGAACCCCAGGTGGTCGAAATTTCTGAAGCCCTCCACTATGGCGTCCCTCATAATCATATGGTGGTTTTGGGACGTTAAACCCCACATATCATTCAATCAATCGTAATGCAGAGAACTTGCTCTGATCTTGCTTGCTATTTGATGGGCACCTAAACTGCCTTGCAAGCGTGCTAACGTCTGGACAATCTGAAAAATAGTGTTTGTAATACTGTACAATGAGCTTTTTGAGCTTGTTAATGTTAGTGAAATCAAAATCTCAGTAAAAATTTCAGATCATAAACTTCACCTACTTCATCTCATTGTCCTTATGTGTCTTGTTATCTTTATGCCATCACCATATTTTAGGCCCTCTTTTTTTTTCTCATCTTGACAACACTTTCCAGAATGTCATCAGCTAATCACAGTTCTGGAAACTGGGGATGTTTTCTTTGTAATTACTGTGTTTAAATTTTTTAGGTATCATACTTCCCTCTATTTAATCCCAACTACGTCTAGCAACGTGCACCTTCAAGAGATTTCATGTGCGCATATGTCTTTCATTGCCATCTTTCTTCTTAAAGGGGTATCATTATGAAATTTTACCATCAAAGAACTCTCAATTTATCGGACGTGGAGTTTTCAATCGCTTTGGCCTTGCTCAGCCTCCCATCTAGCTCAAATGGTTGAGCAACTGCCTTAAAAGATTGTTGGTACTTGTTTCAATTCCCAGAAACGGGCAAACTTTTCTTTAGGTGCTAGGTTTTCTTACTGAAGCTTTAGCGCACACACAGAGGACAAATACGATAGAGACACAGGGACCAGCTCTGTGTCTCTATCGTATTTGTCCTCGTGTGTGTGTGCTAAAGCTTCAGTATGCGACAAAACCAACTAGCCCGTCTTTCCGTATTACTGGAGGTTTCCTTTCTGAAAGGCTCGTATACACCTTCTTTATAGCAATTTCAACTATTAGGTCGATGACATTTTTTTTCCTTTCACAATAATATGTCTTCTACAGAAGTGTGGCTGAGATATAGCTCGCGATTTTTGGGTGTTGTAGCACACAGGGTTCAGCTTCATAAGTATTCTGCATGTTCACCTCAAGTAGTGGGACCCACATTTTTCTGCATTTATTTTTGCTTGAGCCTTTGTTCTGAAAATGTTATTTTATTCTGAAATTGTTGTTAATTTCAGATTAAGGTCATCTACAAGGGCTTACACAGCGAGACATTGCTACGTGTTCCAACAATAATGTGGTTATATGAATATGTCGACACTGACACTCTGCTGGACTGCATAGCATCTGTGGGCACTGTCCTGGCAATAGGCATCACAGTGACAGGAGCAGCAAATGCAGTCTCTCTAGTTCTCCTCTGGGTGTTATACCACTCTCTTGTAAACATTGGACAGCTATGGTAATATTGCAATTCTTTTAAGACAATTATTTCATTGAAAGCAGTATATGGCTCTAAAAAAATTGTCCCAAACTCAGTCATAGGTGGTGTTTTGTGGTTATAGTAGAACCTCGGTAGATGTAAATCAATAGGCTTGACAGCTGGGATAGTTCGTGAATCATCATCATACAGTATAGGTGAAGATAATCATTTAAATGATGTCAATGTGTAAATGTAAGTACTGCTTCTCATATAGATGGTTTTGTTAATGCACAAATGCTTTCATTGATTGAGCCAAAATTTTCACTTCTTTGTGTTAGCAGAACTACAGTAGATATTACAACAGTTTAACAAGCAAAATTGCCCATGCAAACACGATGTTTTGTCTCTAAAATTTTTAAAATATAAAAATTAGAAAAGCATGTTTTATGTGGACAAGACCACTCATAAATTACTGCAATGAGCAATTAGTTGCTGCATAACACATTTTCTTAAAGCTGTACCAAGGCACCTCGTCATTTCCTAGTTTTTACAGTAACTAACTGCTACATTCACTTGTTCATTAGTGGATCTGAAAACAGGCTGGTGAACATCTTTTCCAGTAAATGAAGCAACTGTTAAGTAGAACATGTTTCTCCTGTCTGTTTATATTCCATGTAGTGAGTTTCTACTGTACACTGTTGATATTTTTTATAAAAAGAAACATGCGGACGCATGGCTCATGCTCTCCAGTGGCTGCTTGTGGCACTTTTAAGCGTGAGTGAGACCAACCACAGTCGCTTTTCATGTCATCTAATGGCAAGCAAAACAAATAGTTATGTGTGATCAGCAGCCAGCTGCAGGACTGTAACTCCGCCCTCATTAGGGTGACTGTGGAAGAGCCCGGGTCGGTGGCATGTCATCTGCTGCTTATGAACTTTGAAACAGGGAAGCTTTGCCGCTTAGCTTTCACACGTTACGCCTTGGCTGACTTAGTGATTTAGGTGACAGCGGTGCCCTCAGATAAACTTTTTATGGTTGTTTGTTGTTTTTCAATTCCTCACCAAACAGAAAAAAAGGTATTACATTGTGACAACTCTCAATAGTACTTAGTGGCATCTCCAGATCTGAGCATAATAGAAAACCTTTGGACACTTTTGAAAAGCGTGCTGGCAGGTCGGTCTTTACACTTACCCTCGGCAGACGATCTTTGGGTTTTCATCAAGGAGGAGTGGGAGAACCTTAGAAAAGACACATACCTAACAGCTGCTCTGTATTAATCTCTACCATATGGAGTGGCAGCTGTCATGCCTACAAAGGGTGATGCCACTGTCATGCCTACAAATGGTGATGCCACTGAGTATTGACAAGGGTTTGCAATGTGGTACTTTTTTGTTGATTTCAAAAGCAAACTGACAATTGGCATACATTTTCTTTCAATTTCTATAAACTCATTGAACATATATTTTTTATCACGTTTCATTCTCACGTCTTTTGCTTTACTCATAAATATTGATGAAAATTGTCTGAACCACCACGAGATTTTTTTTCCTGTTTGCTACACAACACCATCTCGCGCCTTAATCACAGCCCCAGTAATACTGTGCCTGACTTCAAAGCATAAAGCACAGAAACGATAGTACTTCTTTATTTTAGCAGGTGACACATTCTCGGCTAAGTGAAATTCCGTCCAGGAGGTTTTCCATTGCATTCAATGATTGATTTAATAATGGCATACCACTAAGAAGGGTTCACCTCGATGCACTGCTGTCTCCTGAATCATTCTAAATCGGCCAAAGTGTAACGCGTGGAAGCCAAGTGGCAGACAATTTTCAGTACGCTCACGTGCTAAGCATAGTTTACCAGCAGCAGACAACACGCTGCTGGTAAATGTATTGAAGGGAAAGGAGGCTGAAATCTTCCAGCCAGCTGCATCTTCTCTATGGGATGCATATCACCTATGAGTGGCTGTTTTTGCTCGCTACTAGATGACACGAAAAGAAGCTGTAGTTGCGGTCACTTACCCTTGGATGCGCTGCAAGCAGCTGCCTGAGCATGAAGGCCATGCTCTCACATGTTTTCTTTCATAAATATTGATGGGGTACAATAGATTTATTGTTCCATCTACTTTTGCTGTTTCATCTAGTGACTGTGTGTACTTGCATCTATAGCATGTGTTTCAAAAAGTATGTAGACACAGATGCCGGCAAACATAAAAAGTGCCATGATTAATGAATGCTTTGTAGCAATATTCAACACTGATAACACTGACGTGCTCAATTTGTCATTAGCATTCATATTACTGCTGCCTACACCGAGTTACTTGTGTCCATGCTGTAGCTTAATGCTCTACATTTTTACTGATGGCACAATGTGGTCACTGTAAAGTAGATAACCCACGGCGTATACTAATAACCACTGAATGATTTCTTTGTTTGTCTCAGTCAGGGATGGAGGCAAGTATCATGGGTGCCAGTCATTGGAATGTATTTACAAAAAAAGTACTCCACTAGCTGATAGTTGTGCAGCAACATCATGTGTACCATGACTGAGATGAACCAACTTAAAAAATGTTCTGGAGTAACCTGTTAGGAGGACTGATGCCTGCATTTTGAGGCACCCCTTTTTTCTGTGATAAATAAATGTCAACGGCAAGTAATTTATGCTTGCAAGTATTTCCATGAGCATGGGATGAAAAATTCTAAATGTACCAATAACCAAACCCGCTGGTTCAAATGTATTAGGCTGCTGGAAAAATGCCTGCTGTGATGGTTTCATGACTATGGCATAGTGCTGCTAAGTACGATGGTATGGGTTCATTTCTCAAACACGGTGGCCGCATTTCAGTGGGGGCAAAATTCAGAATTATTTAGGTACCTATATTTAGGGGCATGTTAAAGAGCATTGAGTGGCTAGAATTGTTCCAGAGTTTGTCACTGCGGTGTGTCTCATAATCAAATTGTGGTGCAATGAACACAGTCTAGGCATATTTTGTGGAAGAGAGTGGACTGAGAACATGTGTCACCAGCATTGTTTAAAATGGATCTTTACTTGCAACTTCTACTTTGAGCAAAAAGCAACATTTTCATTTACCTGGGGCCCATTGCCATTCTTCCTTACTCTCAGTGAAGATTGCAGACATGACCCAGTTTTGATGCTAGTGACACTTGTACTTGATTAGCTCTCACCTGTCTAGTGTATCTAAATCATGGCCACTACAGTGGTTTTGCGTGTAAACTCTCAGAGCTCAGTGAACAAGTTAGCCTTTTCCACGGAGTAAGATAATACAGAAGTTCAGACTCCACTTGTCTGGGAAGGACAGATGATGTGACGCTAATTCCGGTCCAAAGTGCAATCACCAGATGGTGAATGAATGAGGAAAGGCTGTGGATGAGAGATGCTGGTATTCCGAATGAGCAGAGCACTGGGCAGGCCAAACTAGAGTGTATCAGTTATTGCCATAGCAATGGCACATGGTCATGCTTTGCAATGTTCCCAGGTCTGCTTGCTTATTCGTTTTGTCTTGTCTGCCCCGTTCCAACACCTGGAGCTTGCGCACATGAAAGTAGACTGTTAAAGGATTTCCATGCACCTTGATAGATGGTGCATGGTGGTTGCCTGAGAGTGCAAAGAAAGGAGAAAACGTGCAAAAGTGTTAAGAGAACTGGAGTGAGAGAGCAAAGGAATAAGCGAGACCCTTATGTCTGTGTTGCATGGTTTGTCTTGCGCAAATGCATTGGAAGGTGGCAGACTTCGTGCTCCTGTATAAGTTACGCCATCGCTTTTACTATGGTGTGTGTACATATATTGTATGTAAATAGTGTGATATTCTGGCTTTTCATAGTTTTGTAGAACCCACACTTAGATAATTTAAGCATTACAGGCCTGACTTGTGTTCTTTAGGCAGTAAATTTATAATCTGTGCAATTGACCTGGAAAAGAAATAAAAATTAAGCTCTAGCTCTTGGTGATAGCCCGATATTACATTGTTATTCACTATACTACATAATTCATTATCTTACATCATGAGTCTATATTTTAATTAGTGTGAAGAATGGATAAGTATTTGAGGATTGTTTTTATGCTATACCCTGTAGATTTTACTGCTTCAGGTAGAAGGCTCAAAAAGATCAATTCGGATGCCTAAGATCTGTGTGCAGCAATATCTGAACTTTCTTAAATTTTAGGAAGAATCCTAGGTCTGACTTTATAAGTACCGTACAATAAATATCTAACTGGACATTTAGCATTCTGATTTCTCTGGTTAGTTTTGTGTGCTGGCATTACGATTTTTACCACTGTCATTTAATCGTAAGTGTTTTAACTTCTAATTATTAGTTGATAGAATGTGTGTGTGTGTTTGTGTGTATGGTTTTTTTACTTTATTTACCAAGGTATTCTGGTCAACTATTCATTATCGTCTGCATGATTTGTGTGCTCTTAATGACTGTTCTCTTGTACATGCAGTTGTATCCTTTGATAAGACAGTGTGTGTACAGCTATGTTATCATAAGGTCATGCACAAAATTTAATCATTGCTGTATTTTTATTCTCTTCCCATTTTGTGCTTCAAGGTACTCATTCGGTGAGTATTGTTATGTCACCATCCTTTTCACTCTAGCAGTACATTATGTGTAACAGCGCAGTGCATGAGTTTTTGGGTTGGTTTTAAAATATTTCTCACATGGTTGGCAAAGGTTGGGAGTCCCAGCTACTTGAAACTGGCTTCTTGGCTATCTTCTTCTGTCCAATCTGGACTTGGAAGCAGCTGCCACGTGACACACCCCCTTCTCTCGTCGTCGTGTGGGGGTACCGCTGGCTCCTCTTCCGCATCATGTTGGGTGCTGTAAGTTGTTCTTGTGCATATGCTTCTCCATAGGAAAAAATCACTCGTTAGCTTCTCTCTCTTTCTTTTCAGTTACTTGTGGTAATCTGAAATTCCTGCGGTGTCTCAAGCATACCCTTTAATGGTTTTCAAAGTGCTGTTACCATTTCAGATTGGGTTTAAAAGTAACTCCATGGTATTTGAATCCATCATCTTAGATTAGACTATGCCAGTGACTACGAGTCACTGGATTCTTTACTTTTAATTATATTTTTATTTCCCAAGTGTTGATCTATTCAAGCCAGTGTGTCTGTCAAGAATCTGTTGAAATATGATTCAATGCAAAAATAGGACAATAGGTCATAGAAAAGACTTGCACTCAAGTACTCTGCTCCAGTTACTTTATCTTGAACAGGTATTGGGATACATATTTTGGTGTCTTGGAGATGTTCTGAGAGAGAAGTGTATGTATTGAAGCTTTGATATACTTCAGAGTACTTTGTAGTCAGTATTTCAAACATTTGCAAGGCATGCAATCCTTTTGCAAGAGAGCACTAATGGGACCCGTCTGGGTTCATTTTCAACAGGCACAATTGTGTTGTTCAACATAGGCAGGCTGTAGGGCTATCACTTGAACTCGCCTATGTGGGCATACACACAAACTTGACAAAGCCCGCTGTGCCTTGCGAACCAGCCAAACAATGGACGTTGCAGTATGGCACTTAATTTCTTCCTTACCATGCCACTACGGAGCGGTCACTGATGAGCAATGCAGTGTAATTTTCAAAAACTGCTATGCTCAAATTGTAGTGCCATCTCAACAATTGCACACAAAGTATATTTGCCATTTCTGTATGGTGCACATTTTCATAGCACGACAGAGATTTTTTAAAGAGCACATTAGCACAATGCTTCAGCGAAGTGGTATCGACATCTGAAACCACACACACTTGAAATAAAGAAGAAGTCCGTTCTGCTCGATCCCTACTTTGCTTACAAGTGATCTCTCGGACTCTTCAAACAGTGATGACTCTGACATCAGTGTGTCACTGAGTCGGACTTTAGTTTGGATGGGTGAGTTGCTTATTTGAGGTTCTTAATTTTCATTTCATATTTTATTGGGACAGCAATTATATGGACACTGCCAGCAGATTTTCGCTGTTGTCATTGCCGTCATGTCCCGGATTTGTAAATATGTGTATATTCATAATAAAGGCCAAAAAAATTGCAATAAAAAATTTCAAAGCACTTAATTTTGAATTTGAAACAGCAGCCTCTTGCTCCGCAACGCACTGCGTTAGACAGCTCAACCACGGGACATGAGTGCACCAGCATAATAGCGGCAGGCCATTTATATGCACCATTTACTGGTGGTAGCACGTAGATCTCTGAGGATCAGCCCCCACCGCGGTGGTCTAGTGGCTAAGGTACTTTAATTTAATTATAAAAGGTTTTTTTAATTATTTTTTTTATAAAAGGTAATTTAATTATATAAGGTACTTTACTTTAATTATAAAAGCTTGTTATACTGGCTTATATGCTCTAAGTATAGTAAATTTTAAAACATAACATATTTTGAAGGTTATCACTTGCAATTTATTCGTAAGTCCGATCCTGCTACTATTCAATGTTGTTTCCAGATCCTTTGAATCTAAAAGAAAGGCATTTTCACAGGTCTGGATTCAGTTTTGAAAATATATTGTGCAGGTTAGGTGGGTGACCGTTGGTCATGACAAAATATGCGAATTTTATTTGTCATTTGATATATACTATTCGAGTTCTATTTGAAATTATTTGACCAAAATCGTTATTTGCTTTGAATTTGTTTTCAACTGAACATTCACTATTCACACAAGCCTACTGGACACATCTTGCCACTGCGTGGCAGTAAGTGCAGAAGGGTAGTTTAAAAAAAGAGAAATATCTAAGAGCGTCAGGTTCTACATTATCGACACTGGCATCGGGTTGAAGAATGTAACAACTGTACAGTTATTAGTTTTTCCTGTATACCTGTGCATCATTTTTGAGCGTCCTTCATTGTGCTCCAGTTGCAAGTATCGAGCTGCTAGTCATTCTTCATGTGAAATTCCAATTTCTTGCTGCTGCTTTAATTGCTTCTCCCTTACGGCATAACTGCAGTCTATTTTTCAATTACTGTCATTTTCCAAAATATAACATTTAAGTGTGAATTTATAGTCAGATTTAGATGCATTAAATAATATCGTAAAATTTTAAAAAATAAATTTTTAAGTACATAGTACCAACCAAGGTTTGAATATTTCAGTATTTCACATAGTTCTTTATAACTCTAGGAATACTTCACCAATGGATATAATTCTTTAAATAAAGATTGTCAAGTAATGTGGCAACAATTTGTGTGTTAGGAAACTTTCTAAACATTTTTCCAGAGATGTTAGTTTTGACAGGGCAGTTTTTTTTGTTTGCAGATTTTTTAAGTAGACAAACATTTAATTTAACTTATTAAAATAAACACCATTTGCGAGTATGTTGATTTAGCTTCACTTTGATATATTACATGGTACTGTCAGCCCAGCAGCTATTTCCACAATTCACAAGAAAAAAAAAAACGGCCAATATCTTCATGGGAAGGAAAGAGTCAAAGTAATGCATTCGGTCACATACTAAGCGAATTGTATCTCTGACAAACAGAGACAAGCCTGCTGTGGCAAGGTGAAATGTATGTTTATGTTCACAGTGAGGCCTATGTTGTCACATTTGATATTGTGACCATTTTAAAGCCTGAGTACGGGGACATTTTTACCATGCCAAGATAATGGCGATTCCGTGTTACAAAGATGCTTCTCTCACACGTCTAATAGTGTAAATTATCTGATATCTGACAGTGCAAGTCACCAGAAAAATGTAATGTAATTTTAAATAAGCAGTAAAGCAGGAAAATGGAACTTGAACCAACTGATCAGGACCCCTCCATGTAACAGATTGGAATGTACAGGATGGTGAGAATCTCAGGATAATCTAGTCTGGTTAATACAGAGAACAAAAATGGTAAAGATGAAGAGCTAGCAAATGATAAGCATTTGTGGCCATGCCATGTCAAAGAACCTTGCCTTCAGAGCTGCAGAGCAGTGAAAACTGTGACCTTGATAAATTGAACAGCCATTAGCTAGCAGACGCTGCCGATTTGTGGCCACTTCATATAATATGTCCTATGTCCAAATCTTCAGAGCTGTTATACAGTGACAGCTGCAATTTTCATTGATTCAGCATCCATTCATCGTCATACGCCCTCAACCCGCCGACAACCAATTCAATTACTGAGAATGTTGGTAACCCACCACAGAACATTTTCCTGCAAAGTGAAGTGAATCTTCAACTACTGATGTTATTTAGCCGGAGAAACAGTGTTGTCGGTCCAAGCAAAAGTTGGTGCATTTGCTTGCATTTATAGGTACACAGCGTACTGCGGTTGAGGGAAACTTGGGAGCACCTGGCGCTACTTGGTGCCACCGCCGGCCGACAGTTGCAACAAGTTTTGCATAGGCACAGTACAGGCTGTGTGCCCTACTCTTTCGGATGCTTTCATGCTCCAAAATTTTGTGAAGCGAACCATTCATTTGACACAGGAGCATCGCTCACAGCATGCACTGCCCCTGTGCTAAACACGTTCCAGCTGCCGGTCGGCGGTGGCATCGAATAACTGCCACAAGCTTCGATGTTTTCTAGACCGCTGTGTACAACAGTTTGCCATTCGCTTGATCTAGAATGCAAGCTGCATTTCATTGGCATCAAGTGATGCTATAAAATAGCAAAACAAGCAGATTTTGCACACATGAACACCGTTGCATGGCATGCAGTGTATTAGTGACTGAACATAGATGGTATGTGCTGCTAAAGCTGCTTATTTATTATTGATAAAATTTTCTGCACTGCACAAACTTCAGCATTCATGTTCTATGGCTTGTCCAGTGAAGGAGGCACTCCACAAATTCAAATGAATAAATAAGAACAATTTGTGAAATGTGCAGACAAAGTCACATAGCGTGGAACTTCTTAGACAGAGGGCAAAAAAAAAACATGTACTAGTGCTTACTTCCAACTAATGTGCAATACCAGAGCTTGGAAATATATATAGTCAAACACACTTATAATGATACCAGTCTTAACAATATATAGGTTGTAACAGTGAAAAGATGCTGCACAGTCAACTTTTGTATATTTTCTATGTTGAAATACTAACCTACTTAGAGCAATGCCCGCATGTCGCGTTATCGGTTATAACAATGAATTGTGACTGTTAGGTGTCTGTACCAAAAGGAAACTGTTGAAGAGTAATCCTTGAGAGGAAGGTAATTCTTGAAAAAAAAAAAAAAGCAGAAAAGGATTGGGGGACCTCTAAGATTTGCCTTTGAATTGAACGCGATGGTGAAATCCGGCCCTTAGGGCACCCTTCAACCGCTGTGCATATTTATTAATATTGTTACACAAGGCACGGTAAATTAATGGGGGTTTTTAATGGGCCCTGAGTCCGCGATCACCGTCCAATGATGATGATCTCCACCGCCATGGCTCGTACCCACTCAGAGGGATCGCAGTGGAGGCAACGTTGTCTTCATTTTCTACCCGCGCTTCCCTTGTTTTTCCTGGTAGTGATACTTCTTATCATTCCTCCGGTCTCCGACGAAGCCCTCCCGTGCCTTGTGTAACAATTTGGAGGAAGGTGCTGGGTAGGACGAACCCAAAGACGGAAGCTTCACTACCAGGACTTCGTCGCAGCCGCCGCCTCGCCGGACTTCCACCTTCGCCGATCCTAATAGCCCAAGAGCATCCAACGCTTCGAGGCCAACTCCGATGGTTTCCACCCCATACTACAGAGTGCCGCCAAACTTCGGCGGAACCTCAGGAGAAGACGTCGACCTGTGGCTCAAGAACTACAAGCGGGTGAGCAGAAGCAATGGCTGGAACTCGAACGAACAGCTCAATCATGTCGTATTCTCGTTAACTGACACCGCCCTCATGTGGTACGAGAACCACGAGGACAT